AATAGTATGCACAATATCTTGAGAGAAGCCAAGCCTCTCTAAGCATTCCATTGAAGATTCAGAGATATGACTTTGAGCTGATCTACACACCTGGAAAGCACCTACAGTGGATAATGTGAGTACAAGTTAAGAGGATGTGCAAAGTCATGTGAACATGGTGTCTGCTGCTCTTCCTGTATCAGACCAACCTGGTCTCACCAGAATGCGTGACTCCACCACGACTCCTTAACACCGCAGTGCGTGGTGGAGTCACGAACTTTGCTACAACGTCCCGCAGTGAGCTTTTATTCTATAAAACGTTTTTAAAATCGACTTTATAGCTTGTAGTAGCTCACGGGAGCCTTCTTTTATTTTATTTGTATTCATAATCATTTTTATTTTTCGTCAGAATGTATTATGGTGCATTATTTACCAATTTTTGTTCTCAAAAAACAGTGCATTGTGTGTAATACAACTGTGATTTTTATTAAATTAGTTAGTTTTTAAGGAAGGCCAGAGCTTCAGCTGTGTCAAATAGATTGTTCCCTTTAGTTAACGTTATTTAAAAGATAATTATATTCCGATTTGATCATGTCCCCTTTATTGTATTACGGACCCAAAGAGCAATGTGAGCGTCCATTCCCATTGGATAACGGAGGTTTTTCCACCCGGAAGTAAGTATTCTCCTTACTGTCGATTGATTTTATTTACAGTGATATCTGCACTACTCATCAACTCAAAAACACCAGATTATCCTTGTTAATTACTAGGGCTGTCAAGTTAACGCGTTAATAACGCGTTAACGCAAAAAAAAATTAACGCCACTAATTATTTTAACGCGATTAACGCATGTGTATTTTTTGTCCTCGGCCGCCGTAGTTTCAGAGCGCATGGAGTTTAAAATACCATCGACAAGCTGATGCTGACAGCCCCGCTCCTACCGCCCGCTTGTGGCAGACCACACTTCCACGCTCACTGGCAGGCCCGGACTGGCCATCGGGAGGACCGGGAGGGAGTGTGTATGTGTGGCGCGACTCGCGCGAGCGAGGCACACCTTACGTGTTGTTGTTGTTAGCATCTGGTGCTAGCTAGCTGCGCTAACGGATATAAGGAGCTGTTTCAATGACATTTCGCCGACAACTGCGCCGAGCACTTGACTTTATGCAGGTAGCCAGACAGTGGGACATTGTACGAAAAGTCAGCACACTCAGCACGGATAGTGCGCGCAACATGATTGCAGCATCCAGGCAGCTCCCGTTGGAGCATATATGCCTTGAGCTGCACATAGCTCCTCCAACGATCCATCACAGTGTCTCCACACACACACACACACACACACACACACATACACACACACACACACACACACACACACACACACACACACACACACACACACACACACACACAATTATTGTATGAGAGAGGTTCCAGGTTGAATTGAAGCGAATATTTGTAATGTTCAGAGGTTGTTGTGTTTAATATTCATGAGAATATTTGTCATTGTTCAAATGATAATAAACAAACATATAAAGCATATTTGTCCACTCATATGTTGATAAGAGTATTAAAAACTTGAAAGATATCCCTCTAAGGTACATTTAGAACAGATAAAAAATGTGCGATTAATTTGCGATTAATCGCGATTAACTATGGACAATCATGCGATTAATCGCGATTAAATATTTTAATCGACTGACAGCCCTATTAATTACACAACATTGATTGGTTTAAATTGTGTACAATGCTTTTGTATTTTCCCCTTTCGATTCGGAGAAACAAATATTTTTTCTGAGTTTTTGGATGGCAGAAGACACTACACTACCCAGAATCCTCAGCTATGGGACTACACCATGTGCTTACAACGTGTCCTACCCCCCCCGCCCCCGCCCCCCCCCCCCCCCCCCCCCCCCCCCTTAGGTCACAGGCTCCTCCAACAGTGCAACACAATAAAACAGATACACAGACAAAATAGTGCAGTAAATACAAAAAGATAAATAGTAAAAAGTGAAATAGTGCAATAAGAGTCTATATACAAGTGATTGGAATATGATATATTAGATAAATAATTTCTAAGTAGCAGCCAGATGAATGTTATGGATGTTGTTTCAAAGTTCAGGTGTTTAATAGTCTTATGGCCTGTGGGATGAAACTGTCCCTGAGTCTGGTGGTTTTAGTCCGGATGCTGCGGTACCGCCTGCCAGACGGCAGCAGACAGAACAGTTTGTGGCTGGGGTGATGGGGGTCTTTTATAATCCTGAGGGCTTTCTTTAAGGTTAACCTGGTATTTTTACTCCACTACATTTATTTTAGTTACTTTACATATTTGGATTAATGATGTGAAATATAAACAACCCTTAAATCAGACTTTAGTTACACCTGAGTAAAATTCAGTGAAGGTGATTGTCAAGTGCCAACAATCAGGCGAGATATTTGGTAGTGGGTGCTTGAGAAGACTAAATATTTATCTGCAGATCCCTATAAAGTATATTCATTACTCGTTATTCTCTACTAATAGCTATTTTGCACATCCCTTTCAAGATTTCAAGATTTTCTAAGGTTTATTGAGATATCATATACGCCAACTACGGTGTAGTTCAATGAATGAAAAACTTGGGTCACAGGTTCCTCAAGAATAGGGAGGGATGAAACCCTCTTTAATGGTCACACATGCAGAGCACACAGCACACACAGTGAAATTTGGCCTCTGCTTTTAACCCATCCTAGTACAAGGAGTCTAGTACTAGGAGCAGTGGGCAGCTATTGTACAGCGCCCGGGGAGCAATGGGATCGGGGGGGAAGGGGGATGTCCGGTGCCTTGCTCAAGGGCACCACGGCAGGGCAGGAGGTGAACTGGGACCTCTCCAAGTAGAAGTCCACACTCCATATTTTTGGTCTGGTCGGGGACTTGAACCAGCGACCCTACGGCTCCCAGTCCAAGCCCCTACTGACTGAGCCACTGCCGACAGTGCATTACAAGACATCTATCGATATCTGTGTACCTCCACCATTAAACATATTCTGCACATTTCTTATACTATCTACATACATCTTATAAGAGTATAAATAATATGTATAATATCAGTTAAAATAAGTGCTTCAACATAGTTAACCTCTTAAGCCCGGCGATCCCCCCATTGGACCCCTCCCACTTTTTTTTTTTTAGATAATGTCTCAGGGCTTCTTAAATTTATGAAACTATTAATGTGTAGCACCAGATTAACGGTAATAATCTCAGCTAACTGAAGATATGAACCATTTTTAGCTAAAAGAAACACAAGAGTAATACCAAGCCTTAGAATTAGCATTTTGCGAAAAAATGCTAACTAATGCTAACGGAGTTTTGCACAGCACTCACTCTCAAAATGCCCTTATTACTTATCGTAACTGCACAAACAAGATATCCGATTAAAGCTGAGACTCCACATATTCCATACATGTAGTGTCATCACTGTACGACCCCGAATTTGCGGAGCTTTCAGCCAGAAAAGAGAAAGTAAACAACATCCGGTTTCAAAAATATTACAATAATTACATCTTACCTTTTTTGATTTGTGATCAAAAGTTGTGTTCAACGGAATAAAAACGCCGCTCAAGGTTAATCCAATGTGTCTGTGTCACGTAGAATTTTTTACTGATAATACATCATCATATTTATGGCAATAAACTGGGTATAAAGTTTTGCAGTCAAGGCTTGTACTTTCAGATGTGCTTCGTTTGTTTCTCTATTACCTCCGCAATGGTAATGTTTACGTAGATTTTGGAACTGCCCATCGGATTCTATTGGATCTAATGGTTAAGAAAAAGGTGTAAATCACTCAAATCGACCAATGGGTTCCATAGATATGGTCCTGCGTAAAGTATAAATTGTGAATGCCAGCGGCACACACACTACGCACCACACTCTACGCAGTGTTTAGTACGTAAACAAGAGGAATTGCAGCAGCACCCAGAGCGCAGAGCGGACAGCAGATAACGGAGCAGACTACAAGATTGGCGTTTAGGACTTTTGCTATACTTGCTATACTTGTAATAATGGCTTGCAGGAAAGAGATGCTTACGACTTTACAGGCAATGGAAATGGTGACTAATGCTGACAGCGATGCAGACATGTTACCTGTTGATTCTGAGTCAGACGACGAGGACCTCTTGCAGCCAGAACGGAACCCGGAGCGTTGTGACTCTGATGATGAAATTCCACCACGGGAAAGGTATGTAATCTCTCTGTTTTTATCTATTACTTAGTTATTTGGTGTACGATTATTCATATAGTTAATAAATAATTAAGAGGTAATAGAGAAACAAACGAAGCACATCTGAAAGTACAAGCCTTGACTGCAAAACTTTATACCCAGTTTATTGCCATAAATATGATGATGTATTATCAGTAAAAAATTCTACGTGACACAGACACATTGGATTAACCTTGAGCAGCGTTTTTATTCCGTTGAACACAACTTTTGATCACAAATCAAAAAAGGTAAGATGTAATTATTGTAATATTTTTGAAACCGGATGTTGTTTACTTTCTCTTTTCTGGCTGAAAGCTCCGCAAATTCGGGGTCGTACAGTGATGACACTACATGTATGGAATATGTGGAGTCTCAGCTTTAATCGGATATCTTGTTTGTGCAGTTACGATAAGTAATAAGGGCATTTTGAGAGTGAGTGCTGTGCAAAACTCCGTTAGCATTAGTTAGCATTTTTTCGCAAAATGCTAATTCTAAGGCTTAGTATTACTCTTGTGTTTCTTTTAGCTAAAAATGGTTCATATCTTCAGTTAGCTGAGATTATTACCGTTAATCTGGTGCTACACATTAATAGTTTCATAAATTTAAGAAGCCCTGAGACATTATCTAAAAAAAAAAAAGTGTTTCTTTTCAAAGTGATGGGGATGAAATGGCTCTATAGTCACTAAATGGGTTTCATTCACACACTCAAAATGGCATGTTTACTGCCAAGGAAACAGGAATTACAGGAATTAATCTAATCTCTTTGTTTTTCCACATTTCTTTTCATAGTGATGGAGATGAGGATGCAATGGCTTCACCACTGCCTACTTTCACCCAGACCACACCTGCCACACCTGCCTCACCATCACATTCCTCCAGAAAGAGATCTGCACCAGTATTGGCCACTCAGCCTGCATCCAAAAAGCACTCACTTACCATCGTCTGGTTTCTACCAGCTTTCTGCAGCGTCAGATGCATCTGTAAACCAAAGGAAGCGTGGCCGAGGTGGGGCTCCCGCTCCTCAGCCAGGAAAAGGAAAAGCATCAGATAAATGTGTAAAACGCAGGAAGCGTGGCCAAGGTTCTTCCTCTTCCAGAATGACAGAAGAAGAACTCGGGTGGCACAACAGAGAGGAGAATGACCAAACACCAGAGCCACTGAATTTCACACCAGCCAGGGTCCCAGGCCCAGCGCTCGACCCCACTGTAGCATGGTCTCCCCTCTCCATTTTCAGACTTTTTTTTAGCGCTTCAGTGGTTCATACAATCATTTCCAACACGAACGCCAACGCCCTGAAAAGACTGCAGGCTGGAAAGAAGCATGTTTGGAAAATGCTGACTGTGAGGGATTTCTATGTTTTCCTGTCCATTATAATTTTCTCAGGCCTCGTCACCGTTCCCAACCGATCGGACTACTGGAGGAAGAAATGGCCATATAACTTCAATTTCCCAGGTGATTCCACAAGGAGCTGCACAAGATGACGAGTGACCCCAGCAGGACAAAGCCACACACACAGAAGACTTTCAGGGAGCAGCTTGCTTGTTGGAATTGGAATTTTTTTTATTTTTTTATTTTTTTTTACAACAGTTGTATTTGGATGGAATGAATACCTATAGTGATAATTCAAAGTAATAAAATGATTTTTACAGTGAAAAAGGTCAAATGGAACTGATGGTTCCCAAATTACCCAGAGGTGAGTCCGCCTGGACTTTATTTTTCTAAATCTCTCTAAAAAGGTCAAATTTATCTTGTTTTGCATCAATCTTGATACAGGGTACTTATTATATTTTGTACTTTGGATTCCTAAAGCTTTTAGTCTACTAACCCATCATCCAAGGGTGGTTTTCACTATCTGTAATGGGTTTTTTTTAGGCGGAGATAGAATTTACATGTTTTTACTATGTTCCATATGAATTTATTTTAAAATAAAAACATCTATATTGATTTCTGACACTTCTTCATCCAACTCACAGATGTAACCTTGCTTTGAGAAAAAAGATTATTAATTTCCCCCTTTTAGAAGTGAAGATATAGTCTTTGTTGTGGAAGTGGCATTTTCAAGCCTGAAAGCTGAAAAACAGGCTCAGGGCTTAACAGGTTAACATTGCAGGAAAGTTGATTGTCAAGTTCCAAAACAAACCATGCAATATATTAGACGTTAAGTACTT